AAGATTCGTGAAGTGGAGGATTGGGTTTAACAAGCACTGAGGCTGGAACACCGTGAGTCAAGGGAGTCATTTTCATGCGAGCGGTTTCAATGGTCTGATAAGAATTGCCTCTTAAAACACCGAAACCGTTTAGTTGTAACTGCGTAAGGTGATAATGAACAATCAAGTCGGGTTGAGTTGGATCAAGTCAGATCATTTTGGTGGTCTGGTTTCGTGATGTGTTCAGCTATCAACTTAGTTCCATTGATGTTTTCTGTATCATAATGAGCAAAAATATAGATGCATGTTCCACCTTTCCATCCTTTGGCGATTTTACATGCCTCAGCAGCTATAACTAAACTTGCCGATGGGGGATCCGGAAAACGAAGGCTTTAAAACCATTCATGTACGTGCAAACCATTCTATGCAATTGCGTAGTTTAGAGTGACTTCAAGTTACCACTAACTTGATTAAAATATTTGATTTCTTTTAGGGACAGAAAGCTTTTGTCCAGTTTCTCCTCTTAAGACAGAATAGGTTGGGATTGTTCTTCTCTTTCTTATGGTCCTCAGTGTAATTCTCTGATTACTTGTGCGATAGTGGCTTTTTCTTGTGGAACTCCTCTTCTTTCTGTTGTTAGTCTGGCGCACAAAACAGTTCAGCAAACCGGTAATAAAGAATTTTAAAAAATATTCCATTAGGTGCGATGGTCCACAATCATACATGTAGTCCATTAGAACTGAGTACAAACAATGGAGGACGCCAACGTAGTCTTACTCATTTACCAAGCCGATTTGTCCAGTAATTCACCACACCCTGTTACTCCTTAGCTTTGTGACCAGCCATACTTCCGGCTGGAACGTGCAATGACCACAACACAACTCACAACGAGGCTGCGGTAAGCTTGACTGAAGAAAAAAAACGAAAAGCCCATAGATGTTATCAAAGCCCGCTCTCCATTCGACTGGAGGAAATCGGCACCAAAGTAAGTTCATCCTGACTCCTTCTAATCAACAAACTAAAATCTATCCCTGTTCCGTTTTAACGGCATCTATTAGAATAGCTGAAACACCCAGCATTGTTAACTTTATCTCGAAATAGTAACTGCAATTCACTGTTAAAAACAAGTTAATAGTTTAGAGTTTGTCTTCCAAATACTTTGCATCATTATCATTAATGTATACGGGAATTTCTAGGTGAACCAATCATTACTGTTATATAGGTTACAATTGTCACGTAACCGTGACAATTTACTCGAAGTGCTCTGCCCTCTCCCTGCCTCTGTTCTGTGTCCCCCTTCACACACACACACACACACGCACACACCAGCCCCGGGATATGTGGGGAAACCACTGAAAACAACACGCACAAACTCACGTTAGTTTATGAACTTAGAGATGTGTTTGTGCGTGCGTGCGTGTCTTTGCATCCCGCCAATCCTAGCATGTTGTGAACAAAATCTCATCAGAAGAGAAGGTTGTAACGAAGAGGACCAGCCAGTTCTAATCCCATTCAGAGTTTGAGCACATATTTGTTGTACCCGTCGGTGATCCGGTTTACATTGTGCAAGTGAATCAAACAACTGACCTTGAAAGTACGTAATTACTCTCCATATGTGTGTATATAATCATGATCAGTTTTGTTTTGTTTTTCATTATAATTTTTTCATATTTTCAACTAAACACTTTTGGTTTCATCATTGACTGATCTGATCATCTTCTTCCGGGAACGGACTCGGCGGTAAACTTAGTTAGACGCTCAATCAAGCCTAATCTATGCGGTTTATCCATTCCGATGATCATTTTTCCACCGTCGACAAGTATCCCCATTAGCTGCGGACATCTTCGCCGAAATTGAAACAATCATTTCTATTGACTCGATAACGTTTGTGGTACCCTAATAATGACGAGAATCACTGGACAGAACAACCTGAATGCAAGAATTATACGGATTAATCTAACTGTTTCCTGTTGATAACCAAAGTTTTAAACACGATTTCTTTTGAATTGAGAAAAACATTGTACTAACCAATGCAGGAATGGACCCGATTCACTCAATTATTCACACTCAACTAACCTCAACTGGATATTTACCACAAAACTAGTTTGGTACCTGTACCTTCTTATGCGGGCATTGGGTTTTAAGATTGAAATAAAACACGGCACAGATGGCTAACATCAGTATTTTCCGTCTTGGGAACTCAAAACAGTAAGCTACCAACTAATCACTGACTTACGTTAAATCTATTCCGTACATAGCAATCCATGAGTATCCGCCATAAAGTGCACTTTCCTTGAGTGAAAATAGTGCGGTGTCATGCATGTACCGCACACAGTCATACATTGGTTCGTATATCACTAGGAGTCAATAACATGCGATCTGCATTCCGTCAAAAAACGTCTGTTTTGAAATGAAAAGCTTTGTGGCTGGATAAGATACAACTGAATGGTGCCAGTTACTCCCTCTGCGTAAATAAGTATGAGTTGATTATGATTAGTCGAACGTTTGCGAGCGAGGGCATCAAACGGAAAATACTAATAATTATACGCTCGCAAGGAAAAAAAAACAGTTTTTCCTCAGATCATTGACCATTTATTGTGAATAATAGAAAGTTGATGAAAAAATGCGCTTCCAAATTCATGGTATTTTGGACATTGCAGCATCGGAGATTGAGAATGAATCCTCAAGCGCATCAGGAAGATTATAGGTGAAATTTTTGTAGAGAGCAATAAGAGCGTTACAATAAAACTGCGTTAATCTTCAACCATTCGGTTCGATAATAGACAACAATTGATGAGGATATTGAGTTGAGTTGGTGCAAGCAGTGAATGTGATTAATGACAGGTCTTCCATGACGGGGTCTGTGCTGTCGTTAATGCAAGGAACCTGACCAAAGTGGGACGGGACGAGGTCAAACATTCTTCTAGTTATGACCAAATGTGTGTTCACTGTTTACCGAAAAGCAAAAGAATTGTAAGAAATAAATAGCATAGTTTTACATCGTATTGATGTTAGGTGCGGTGTTTTAGGTAATCACTGTCGCCCACTGGAATCTGTGGTTGAATCCCATGGATTACGTTTGTTGGGATTTGCTGCGTGTCACTAAACAGATTGCAACGGCACACGCTATGTGCGGAGGCAGACAATGGGTTGGTAAAAGTGGTGTTCAAACTAAGACCTGAAATCCGGGTATGACAGCCGTGACCAGGAGACTTGCTCACATATCACTCACGCATCAGGTTAGGTTTCCTGGACAGGGACCTAGGGATCATCGAAGAAGATGGTTAGCGAATGGTCAGATGACTGCCGTGAACAGTGGTGATCGGACATCTATTCATTGTCCTTTCAACCTTAGCTTACGTAATTTCACTATTTACACCTTGAAGCTGCTCTTTAAATTCAAATCTTTCTTTTACCCCTTCCTTCAAATGAGCAATCAAAGCGTATAAACCAAAACCACAGCACTTATGTGACTAGTCAGTATTGCACAACCTGAACTGACTGATTTTTCATCTGGTTGAATAAATAGACAACCAATGCACGAGATACTGGGACTCTGTGGGTGGGGGTACGAAAACTAACTGTTGAATGGAATGAGTTAGCATTGTGTTTTTAAGCACTGCTGATCCAGCCTACTATAGCTCTGACAGTGACTTGGAGCAGGCAGAAAGTGCCACTCCAGTGGTTGGGTATTATGCGTAAAATGTGCTATATTATTTTAATTTCAAACAGAGTAGTCTTCTCACCATGACTGAGGTCAGTGGGAATATAAAGACCAAGAGAGTTGAGAAGTTTAGTTATACAATCGTGTAGTCCTTTGTTTGAAGTTCAGAGGACACGGTTCTTTTAATATGCATCAGTGGTTCTTGACCCCGAATAGTCTTTCGTTGTTCATCTCTTTCATTTACAGTTTAAACTTTTCCATGTTAAAGACTATGTTAAAAGCATATCAGTGCCTCATCTGCGTTGTAGTTTTTCTGTTTCCTTATTCTTCCTGTCTGATTCCGTCAATGANTCAATGACGGGGTTTCTTGTGTCTTTAACAACGCATGTTCGAGGTACAAAAAAGCGTTTGGAGGAGGAGTTGCTCTCAATCAAAAGCTGCTTGTGAGACTTGTGAGATAACAATTTCGAACAGATAATGATGATGGAATTCGGACAAGTATCCCTAGACTTGATAAGATGACAACTTATACAACTTATACTCCCATGACGATAACCAACAAAATTTAGACGACAAGAGATTGTTGGAGTGCAAGTATTTGCAATGGTGGAGGGATACCTATCATACTCACAGAAGGTACATCCACGTCAATACTTTCAGTTGTTGAGAGATCGGCAACATTGTTGCAATGCGAACCCGCACCGAAAATTTTCCGTATCTTTGCACATTCTTCATCAACCACTCCGAATAGAGCGCATCAAATCTGTCAGTCTAACCCTGTTCCTGGAATGACTGTTTTTCTCTTTGAAAAGCTATTTGTCACAAACCTAATACCAGAAATCGAACGGCAGAAAACAACTGAGACATTTATTGTGATAAGACAATGAAAAATACTTATACCTACCTATACGTGCAATCAAAGTTTGTTATCGTTGCGTTTTTGACATCGTATAGTATGATCTTTTAGCTTACACCGGGGACGACAACTGCGAAACATGTGATTATCACAATCGTACAAGTCCACTACATTTCTTGTTAGAATTTATTACATACCACCATCAATGCCCCGGAAGTTTGATCGCTGTTCTCCATTCTGATTATCCTTGCACAGCTTACATTTTTTTGCGTGACATTTTGCACCAAGCAAAAAATAGATGAACCACATCGTCCGGAGTACCTACTTCCTGTTCATTGATAATATTTATATATAATTACATTATTGAACATTCGGTTTTGGGGAAACTGATATCTGGGAGGACGTTGTTCTATTCCAGATCGGTGACGAACTACGTGAGAAAATAATTTTGGCAAAGAATATTTTATAGGGTGAGAAATTTAAATAAACCGCATGTGAACACTAAACCCGTAATTCATGGTGAACATTACCACGTGCAGCATCATCGAACGCATTTGCATCAGAATCCGAATCACGGTTACCATCATCGTCATCACCATCCTCTTCATCATCATCATCATCATCATCATCATCATCGTCATCATCATCATCATCATTATTATTATTATTATCATCATCATTATTATTATTATTATCATCATCATCGTAACCAATATCCTCATCACCATCATAATCCTACCGGATTTACCAACATGAATTACACATCCGAAATTTTGATAAAACTCGTTGATTGTGGAATACAAGTGGCGAGTCATATTCGGGTGGTTTAATGTAACATTCCCTATCACTCAAATGGTATTGTTGAGGATTTTTCAAAAACGAAAAAATATGATAGCTACAACACAACGTGAATAAATAATCCAGGTATTAACTCTCTTTGATAGGTAGTTGAAAATCATTTTTGTGTTTAACCTTTTCGCATAAAGGTACCTGATTTCGCCTGCCAAAAAGAAACAAAAGTGTGAGTTCTCAAAGCTCAAAACAATGAGGAATCGGACTGCCTCATGAGTGCACAAGGGCGAATTCGTAGTCCAGTAGCTATTGAAAGGCAGTTATTTCTTCGATCCAGACATCGATATGATCTTCTATCGCCTATGACCATGAAACCACTTATATTCTTCTGTTTACTTCTCTGCGTCAGATTCTGCACGTCATCCGTTTTGTCCCTGGGTCTACGCAATTTAATTGATTCTACTGTCAACCATCCTTTCCACGGAACATTAGTGGACAGACTCCAATCTGCCATCGGAATGCATTGGACGGTCTTGAATGTTTACACGTGAACCATCGGAGGCACAAAGTTGTACACCACTAATTATAGAAACGAGAAACTGATGATAATGCGAAATCACAGTTCAGTAACTGAATTCATGAAGCACTAAAATTTTGTGGGAAATTATATAGGTATTTAGCTAAGCACGTGAGGCAATCATTATGAAGAAAAATGAACACATTATCGCAAAATTAGCTCATCACTGTAATCAGAACCCACCTGTCGTATGCGAACATGCTTCTGATGAGTTTATTCTCAAGCCATTGCAATCATATATATGTTCCTATCCAAACCCATTGCTATCACTATTTGACCCGGATTCCTTGACCCTAACAGAACACACTCAAGTTATTTTGTTACATCAGTGT